TCATCTGGTGTCTGCTTCTGATATAGTTCCTTAACTGTATGGAAGGTTGGCTGTTCTACTGACTTCTCAGTAATGATAAGATGAGGGATTCCACTACTTAAACACAAAATATCATGACAAGACCTGTCACATGAATAAGTTCTTAATGGATAATCACTTGTCTGATAGCCTTCAAATGTGAAATGCAATATAGATTCTGGAGATAATTCCACTTGAAAGTCTCTGATGTTCTCTGATTTTTGCGCTTGTAGAAGATGGCAGTTTTTGCAACGATTTGTAAAGCTGGTTTGGTTGTTTTCTGAGATAAGTACAATTTCACTTAATTTGCTTTTTCCTTTCTCTCTTTCAAATGAACTGCATGAAAAGGTTTGATGAAAGCAGAGATAGAGATCACTTTCCCCATCAGAGTCAACCAAGTCTACAGAGAAGAAGGAAAAAATAGCCATCAACTCAAGAAAATTGTTTTCCCAGATACAATTGTTTTCTAAAAGTTATTTCCATAATCCATCATTCTAACACAAACAACAAACATCATTTAAAAACATAATGAAAATGCTAAAGTGTTCTGCCATTTTAAGCAGCCCTATGATGGTTTAGCATGCAGTTTACCTTTGTAACTACCTTCTTCCCAGCACTCAGAATAATAATCAAATTCACTTTCTGAATCGCAGCCTGCTGAGTTCTTGCTGGACATATCACCTAGAACACAAATATAATGTAAGAAACCTTTATAAGCCAAGTTAACTTTAAAAGGGAAATGTATAATACTACCTACTGCTGTATACTGTGTAGAAAAAAACCTCTAACCTTGTTATTGAGTGGCTTGCGACAGACCTATTTCAGAGACAGTGGTTCCAAATATAATTTTTGCCCATAGATGCCCAATGAAGTCAATCGGTCTTTGAACAATGACATCTAATTCACACTGTAAAATACAGAATTAGGGCTTTTTATGTTATCTGCATTTCTAATTTAACCTATTCTGTAGATTCAGGCAGTCAACAACAAAAATGTAGTATATACAAAAATATACTAATTAACTTTTATACCTGTATGCTCACATGAATGGGGAAATAAATCACCCTGCATATGTTATCTCCTATACAGAGATTCATGTACATGTAGGAAACAGTAACTTAACATTCAAAAGGAAGGTGTGATACAGGAAGCAACAGAAAAAGACAGACATTTTGTTGTCTTTGTCTTTTCTCTCCTTTTCTGTATTTTCCTTTAAACCTAGTCCTGTTTGTTCCATCTCTCACAACTATCCATAGAATTGGTCCAAAGGGTTATTTTAGCCATGCTCAGAGTGAAAATATTGACTTCTTTGCACAGAGAATCTGACATATGCCAAGCTGCTTTTGAAAGACCTTCTTGATTCTTTTTTTAAAATTGTATTTCACGACGACAACAACAAAAAAGGAACAGAAACATACCAAATAAGTATGTTGTCGAAGAAATTCCCCCTCACATACTATCCACATAAGTATAAAGACATAAATACCAGCACTGGATGATCATGTTTCTCCTTCTAGCTGTTCTGCTGCCAGATCCATCCTCTGTAGAATTCCTGACCATAATGAAACCAATCTAGATAGATCACTTTTTTGTTGTTGTTTACTTATCATTTCACCAAGACATGGATCTCTTTTACTTTCATCACCAATCTTGGGCATATTTATTTGCTTCCATTTCCTGGCAAAGACCAGTCTGACAGTAGTAATAATACAGAAATATTATGTAAATAGCAAAAATAATTTGCTAAGAGACTGCACATAAAGCTAGTCACGCAGCTTAATCAGGCCCATGGCTCTTTAGTGTACAACAAGGCTGCTTTGCAAGAAAGTGAGGCATGGAAAGGTAGGTACTCAGTTTGTACTAAGACACCACAAGTCCTAACATGAAAACAGTATGTCCCATCTCACTAGCACCACTTTCAAGTTTTCTATTACCCACAAAGCACACAGATAGTAAAAGGAAGGAGACTGGTACCATATGAAGTCACTTGCAGGGAATGAGCGGGCAGTATAAGCACATATATCTCCCTTCAAAATCTGTGCCTTATGGAGGCGTGAGCTGAAAGCAGCACAGTATTTGTCTTCTACAAAAACTCTCTGTTTGGGGAATAAGATTCAGATGGGTAGCCATGTTGGTCTGAAGCAGTAAAGTTTGAGTCCAGTGGCACCTTCAAGACCAACAAAGTTTTACTCAATGTATGAGCTTTTGTGTGCATGCACCAAGAAAACCAACACTATTTTGATTTCACAACTGTTCAGAAATATTTAATTAACAGTTCTACTCTAAGCAGATTTACACCCTACTAAGTCCATTGAAATCAGTGGTTTTAGAAGGGTGTAATAGTGCTTAGGATTGTACTATAAAGACTTCCTAGAATAAATATGATGCATAAACACTTAAGTATTAAAAACATATCAGATCCTCTCAGCATTTACTGCTTCTTTTAGCCCTACCTGTGATGATAATAAGGAGCAGTGTTAGCCTGTAACCACAAAACAAAACAGGAGTCTAATGGCACCTAAGAGCAGAAACTGACAGCCTGCTCTGATGCAGCTGGGATATTGCATAAGTTTTCTGTGACAGCATCTGATCAAATGAGCTCTATGATGGGATAAATTCTTTTATTCTTTTATTTTATTAGCCCTATCTCATCATTGGGCAGTTCTGACCTGGATGGCCCAGGCTAACCTGATATGACAGATCTCGGATGCTGAGTAGGGTCATTCCTTGTTAGTTCTTGCTAAGTCTAGAGGTGCTACACAGAGGCCCCAGTCACACGGGAGGATTTGATCCGCAAGAGAGACGGATTGGGGGCGCATCAAGCGGGTGCGATCACACCGCAACATCTGGGAAGCAGCGCGCACCCGTTCCCGATCCATCTCTTCCGGCCAAAGATGCGGAGTTAAAATAAACCTGCAAAGCACTACTACCTACCGGAAAATCCACGGCACGGGCGGCCGTGTGATCGCAGACGTGCCCGTCTCCTGCAGCATGTGAGGCCCCCTACCGAACTGCGCAGGCGCACACATGCACAGCTGACTTGCCTTGCTCTCCCGTCCGTGGCTTCCCCCTAGCATCTGATCACGCTGGGGAGCAGGGGTCATTTCCTGCAGGAGTGCACAGGAGCGGAGCTCCGGCAGTAAAGAGCCCAGGAGATGGGCACATGCAACAAGCCCCACCCCCTGCTCCCAGCAGCCCTCAGTCAGAGCAAGACGCAGCCAGGTAAGTTGCACAGCTCCCCCGGCCCCCCGGTCCAAAACAGTCCAGTGGCACCTTTAAGACCAAGTTTTATTCAGGTACAAGCTCTCCCTCTTCTGTGAGGACAGATCTGCACGTTCTCCCCCCCCCCAATAGCTAGCAATCCAAAACAGTGGGTGTTGCCTTCTGACACACTTCCGGTGATGTCAGGGGTGTGTGGCATATGCAAATAAGTCATGCTAATGAGTTATGCTAATGAGCTCCTGCACCTCTTTTTCTATGAAATTACCCCTGCTGGGGAGCATATGCGCGGCGGCTGGGGATCTATCTGATCCCCTGCTGCACTTCTCTTTTGCTGCGGCTCTAAAAAGCCACACTTCCACCCTGGCTTTTCCTGCGGTGTGACCGGGGCCACAGACAGGCAATGGCAAACCACCTCTGTTACTCTCCTCTGCCTTGAAAACCTTACGGGGTTACCATAAGTTGGCTGTGACTTGAGGGTACTTTCCACCACCAATCACCAAACAATTGCCTCAGCAGCTTTTTGAGCCAACCTCCTTCATTAGGCTGCCAACCTCCAGATGGGGCCTGGACATCTTCTGGCTTCTACCTGGTGGAATGAGCTCCCACAGGAGATCAGGGCCCTGCGTCACCTTTTGCAGTTCTGGAGGGCCTGCAAGACGGAGCTCTTCCGCCAGGCTATTAATTAGGGCAGCGGGCATCCCCCCTCTCTTGGCCTCCCCTCAGTGGGTCAGTTTTGTATTATCAACAGACCCCGACTTGTAACAGATAGCATCTGTGACACTTGACTTTGATCTGTATGACAGGATTACTCTATTTTATTGGAATTTTTAATGGTTTTATTTTGTACATATATATTTTGTATATCGGTTATTATCTGATGGAAGCTGCCCTGAGCCTGTTATGTGGAGAGAGCGGGATATAAATCTAATAAATAAATAAATAAATAAATAACTGATCTCCACACTACAGAGAAAAAGGCAGCTTTGGAGGATGAACTCTGTGCCATTACACTTTGCTGGGGGCCCTCCCTTCCCCAAACCCCGCCCTCACCAGGATCCACTCCAAATCTCCAAGAATTTCCCAACCTAGAAACTCTACTCCTTCAGAAGGGATGAGGCTTCTTTTGCTCTTGTCAGTCAACCTCAAACTAGACAGGAAAGCGGCTTATAGTCAGCCCCCCTCACCTGCAGGTGTTGCCCCTCCTGGTTCTTACTTCGCTTGATCGGCCCTCATTCCCCTGTCCGGGATTTCATTTGGCACTTCGGGAGTCATGCGTGACGTGAGAGACCCTCACAACCCACGAAGTGACGTCCCCGCACCTCTGTGACGAGATATAGCGTTACCTCCTCCACCTCCTTTTGGGAACTTGGCCCAAATTATCCGCCTTCCTTCCCAAGGTGCTTCAGTGACAGATGGTGGGCTGAATTCAAACCAGCCGAAGGGGAGGGGATGTATGCAAACAACAGTTCTATGATCTCCGAACACATTAAACCCATGACCAGTCACAAAAGCTATCGCCTTTCCTTTTATCTAAGCCCGCTCTCGAATACGGCACCTAGCCCCAGGCACGCGGGAAAAATTCAGCGGAGAAATAATTGCGACCCAGTGCGACCCGCCTTCTTTTATTGCATTGGTTGTACCCGCCTCCTGGTGTACGGCATTTCTCTACGGCTACTGTCCAAATCTCCTGCCACTCAGCGGAGAAAGACGCCTCCGTTCGTTGATAGGCTGATAGCATAGCCAATCCAGGAAGGAGGCGTCTGGTTCTCGGATCCCGGAGAGTTGAGCGGTCGCGGTCGGGGACTTCCACGAGAGTGGTTTCAGGTACCCGGATATAAGTATGAGGGGGAGGGAGGCGGCTGGAGTCTGGTGTCAGTCCATTTCCTGCGGTTGTGTAGGCGGTTTTGACTCGCTGGGGAGGGGGTAGCGCTCTGAGGGGAGGTTGGGGGTCCTGATAGTAGTCTGCTCTTCACGGGGAGTGGGAGGGACTCTCGGGGCGGACTGGTGCCACTCAGCCCCGTCCGCTCCCCTGAATCCGGTGGGGGTGGACACAACAGGAGCTGAGTAGCCTTTTCTCCCTTAGGGTGTGGGTGGGGGTGGGGGGGGGGGGGGCTGGTAAGGGGACCGGTGACTAAAAGGTAAAGGTCAGCGTTGAAATGTAAGCACGGGCCACAGCTTTCCTAAAAGACTTTGAGAACGAAGCTGTCAAAACGCTTTTTAAAAGTTTTTTTTAATAGTTAGACTGTTGATGGGGAGCGACGGGGGTGGGGCTTTAATCTAGAAAGTAGTTTTATTGATCAAGAGCGAAAGAAGGAACGAGGTGCCTAACATAATTCATGTCCGAGATGGACCAAAAATGACTCAGCATTTGCTGAAAAGCATTTGCTTTTCCGTTTGACAAAGAGCTTTTCTTTTGACTCCCCCCCCCTCCCTTGACTTGCTTTACAGCGCTGGCCTCTGAAGCCTTTGGTAGTTTTGGCAAAGTAGCAAAGCAAAATTCTGGGCAGGGCTATCACCCAGGGAGGTGATGTTTCTCCCCTGTAACAATATTCTGGATTATCTTTCATTGTTTACCTGTACTAATATTGTGAGGAAAAATGCATTATAGAGATGTGTACTGAAATCAAATTTACCTCACAGGCAATTGTGTGCATACTTAGAAAAAAGAACCCCTCCCTAATTTACCTAGAAGGAAAGGGTACAGGGGGCAGGGAGTGGCAAATACCTATGTCATCAAAGCAGAATATGTATTCCTGTTGTTTTTTGCAATTGTTGTTTTAACTTGCGTGATTAAATGACTGGAAGAACCCTTTTGAATGCAGTAAATGGCCTCATTGAGCTGTCATTCTGAACAAGCTCTTCTCATTTAACATGATCACTGTTTTAACATGACAAATCAAGAACCATCTCCTTGGGGCTTAATTGTTCTACTTGTTGGCACATGAATAATGGTAACATATTCATTGCTAATGCATCTTAGTTCTACCCAAGATATATGCCTTGGAACTACATTTAAAAATAAACAAGAATTGACAGACTCCTTTGACATAATTAGAATATTGCATCAATGCAGTTTTTTTTCTGCCTAGCATGACTATATTAACCTGTCCAATATGAACAAACACAGGACTCTCACTGTGTTCTGGGAGCTCATACTAACAATGTCAACTGCTGGATGCAGGCAGGTTATGCAGACACAGCCTAACAGTTGTCACAAAAGAACAGCATGATAAATTGATGACAGTGGGACATTTGCACTGTAGCTCTGTTCATACAAAATGGAGGTGTTACTGGTGGGCGGAAGGCTTGACCCAGGAATGGGAATATCTCCTATTCTGGATGGGCTTGCACTCACCCTAAAGGAGCAGGTTCATAGTTTAGGGATACTGCTCAACCTGGGCCTCCTGTTGAATAAACAGGTGGCAGCAGTGGCCAGGGGTGCTTTCCATGCATTGTAGCTGTGGCTCTTCCTGGGTGGAAAAGGTCTTAATGGTATTATTTAAAACATTTTATGCCAGCTTTCCACCCAAATAGGGTCCCCAAGGTGGGAAAGATGAACACATTTAAACATTAAAACAGCATTTAAAAGAATGTGTAAAATTCAATAAAAGCACAGAAACATACTGTGCATGCCCTACTAACATCTAGATTAGATTACTGCAGTGCACTGTACATGGGGCTGCTCTTGAAACTGTCCATAAACTTAAGAATGATGCATCCAGAATGTTGACTGGAATGTCTCACAGGGACCAAATCACTCTAGTCTTGTTCCATGTACACTGGCTCCCAATATGCATCCAGGCCCTATTCAGGGTGCTGGTATTGACCTTCCAAGCCCTATACAGCTTGGGGCCAGCATATTTTAAGGACTGCCTTCTCCCATATGAAACTTACCCATCCACTCTGGTCATCTCTGAAAGCCTTGTTTCAGGCGCCCCTGCCATCTGAGGGAGATTTCATCTGTCTCCCTCTGTCATCTTCTGCCGGCAAGTGATGATTTTCTTTGTTTTGTTGCGGACCCTGGTTGTAGTGTTCCTATTGTAGAATATTTTACATACAGATTTTTAAATGTGGTTTTAATGCCTTTGTGTTTACAGCTTTTGGGGTGGAAAATTTGTCATAGAACTGTTCTAAACAAATAAATGAAAACGAACAGCAGAGTGTATGTATTATATACATTCTAAGCATGTGAGGGGAAATATTCCATTATTTGAACAAAAAATTAAAACATACATACAGAAACTCCGGATCTAGGTGGGGGGGCTAGTAGTATGAGTACCTGTTTCTTCAATTCCACACCCCTGCTTAAAGGTAAAGGTAAAGGTTCCCTTGCTCGAAAGCCAGTCGAATCCGACTCTAGGGTTGTGGTGCTCATCTCCGTTTCAAAGCCGAAGAGCCAGCACTGTCCGAAGACATTTCCGTGGTCATGTGGCCAGCATGACTAAACACCAAGGCGCATGGAACGCTGTTACCTTCCCACTGAAGTGGTACCTATTTATCTACTTGCAATTTCTTGCTTTCGAACTGCTAGGTTGGCAGGAGCTGGAACTAGAGACGGGAGCTCACTCCGTCATGCGGCATACTTGGGTCTCAAACTGCTGAACTACCAACCTTCCACAGCCTGCAGTTCAGCGTCTTAACCACTTGAGCCACCGCAGCTCCATACCCCTGCTTACAGGATACAAAATCAATGTGTGTTTATTGTATATATTATCTACCTCTTACTGTGTTACTTTCTGCTTTTGTGAGTTGGATGTAGAGGATGGAGGGTTGGCTTTGGATGTATAGTAGCCAAGTTTATCTCTTACTTAGTTGTGAAGCTCATTTGGTCAATTCAGTATCACTTGGCCTAACCTATTTTATGGGATTATTCAGAATATAAACATCTAAGTGTCAGGTGTATAATACAAGCATATCAAATAAATAGTTATGAAGTTCAAAAATAGAGTTGGTGTGAATTCCCTTTTTTCATTATTTATCTGCCCCAAATAGCTCACCAGATCACAATGGGGTTTTTCTGGGCAAGGATTGTTGAAAAGGGCATATTTAGCTTGAGTATCTCCATTGCCAAAGACTGTTGAGATCTGTTAATGACAAAAGAACATCTAGTTTCCAGTGGTTATGTTTTTATTTATATTTATTATTTATTTATTTTCTGCCTGAAAATCCATTTTTCTAAGTCTGTTATAAAAAAAGCTTTTAAAAAGTCCTTTACAAGCTAGAGCTTAATTGTTCTCATGCTTTGTGATTCTTGTTCACTGTTTTCAGTCCTCTAGAGACTTCTTTCTTAGCCTTTGTAATGACTGCTCTTTGGGAAGATATTTTACATAATGACCAGCTCATTCAGTACGTGGCCCCAATTGCAGTGGATGCAGCACTACTTGAAGGCGTTCTAATGAGGACCAAAGATGACCCCAATGCATCTGATGTAAGCTGAAAACTAGATTTCATGCAGATACTTAGACATATCTAGCCTTATGTACCTTGGGATGAAAAAAGAAGGAAAATGAAGAAAGGGAGGATGGGTGTTCCAGCCCAGTTACATCACACTTTCTTGGCCTTGTCCTAAACTGCCAGATGATACTGTGTAGTGTCATGCTGCCATCTCACCACCTATAAAACTGACCCATTTTGTCCTTTGGTATTGCATAATGTATGTGTATGGCTTGGTAATATGGACCAACGGTCATTTATGCAGACTTGTCTACACTTAACAGTAGGTTTGACTTCTACTGTGTGATGCTGTGAAATAGACATGAAATACTTTTCTCCATGTGGCTAGGTAATGTGAACTGGGCAGTATGTGTGGAGATATGGTTGCTGACTCGCTGCATGTACTATTCAGATTGCACAAATCATTCTCAAAATGAACATGGTGGTGGGTAAACTGAGGACCACATAGGGTTGCCAGGTCTGGGTTGGAAAATACCTGGAGACTTTGTGGGTGGAACTGGGAGAGGGCGGAGTTTGGGGAGGGGAGGGGCCTCAGCATGGTACAATGCCATAGAGTCCACCCTTCAAAGCAGCCATTTTCTCCAGGGGAGCTGATCTCTGTCAGCTGGAGATCAGTTGTAAAAGCAGGAGATCCCCAGGCTCCACCTGGAGGCTGGCAACCCTGGGACCACAGCAGGTGTGATGCTGGGAGATCATCTTCATAGCATCTTTTAAAGGGAAGTAGCAGCCTGGGCTTTCGTACCTGGAGTGGTGGGGGTGGGAAGGTGTTGCCAACCGAAATACCTTCTCTTTACTCATTTTCCCCTTTCCAGGGCTAACAGCAGCCCGAGGGGATTGATTTTGGTTAGTAAAACTATGCAGGCCAAAAGGTTAGACATAGACTCCCTTCTCCCCCTCCCGCCCCGCCCCATACAATAGCCTCGATACTTGCAATTCCAATTTTACCTTATATGATTTTGTACTTTCTGATCTGTAATTACCAGATTTCCGTGTGTGTGCGCGCGCTAGTAAAGGCTTGTCTGTCAATAGCCTTGATACAGATTGGGGCCCTATATAGCTGCTGTTTCCTTTTCTAAATTAAAAAAAAAACAACCTGGAAAGATATGATAATGATCTTAGTTTATATAAACCAACATTTTAGTTCCTTGGGCGCCTCTCTTGTGTTAATCCTATACTAGTAAGACTGGTTACTGTTGCTATGGTGTTGTCTACCTCCAGGGCTCAGGATTTGCAACATCACTACATGTGTTAAGCAGATTCCCTGTGCAAAGGGAGTGTAAGATAGTAGTTGATACATCCATTACTATCCCTTTAACAGGTTGTGAATTATGCTCCCTTTACACTGCTCCCATCTGTAGTACCAAGTGGCCTCCTTGAGCAAGCCTATTCAGTGCAGCAAGATTTTAATCTACTTGTGGATGAAGTTAGCCAAAATACAGAATTTCTGGAGTCCACTCTTGCCAGGTATATATATCATAATATAATATATTTAAATAATATCTTGAATGGAAGCCTTCCATTAATCATGGATGTATTTCTTGCTTTATTTGTATCTCTCAACCCTACATTCCTCGGTGACTTCCAGTCATTCATGTCCTTGCCCCCTCTTGAAGGGCATTTAACTTCTTGAACATAAATTACTGGAAAACAGCAGTATATTCTGGCATTTCTCAGAGCTACATCAAATATAGCACATTGTTTTAACATCTTATTCACAGAGCCTCTGCATCTATGCAAAAGGTACTTTGCTTACCTCCTTAGGTAAAATTTTGTGAGAAGAAATTCAGCCTATCATGTAGCTATTAAAAGACCCTGATGCTGGGAAAGATTTAAGGTCAAAGAAGACGGGGACGGCAAAGGATGAGATGGTTAGACAGTGTCATAGATGCAACGAACATGAAGTTGAGCCAACTTCAGAGGACGGCGAAAGACCAGAAGGCCTGGCGTGATCTGGTCCATGGGGTCGTGAAGAGTCGGACGCGACTGTGCAACTGAACAACAACAAAAAGAAGTTTTGGAAGTAAATTAGGATATTTTAATTCTGTAGAGCAAGGCATGCATGATTCAGACAATGGCAAACTATGGGGTCCTGGGACTCTTTTACCTGTCATGCAAGGAGACTTTCATGGTTCACCATAATTTGTCATTGCACCTGAACCACAAACTGTGGTTTGTTTCTACCTTACGAAGTAAGATTCCAACCCAGAATTTAGAACCTTGATTTGTAGAGTACAGAGTGTAGTTTGGACATAATGACAGACTGTGATGGGTGTTATTGTACCTGAACCATGCTCAAGGTTCTCTTCTAGCACTGTGACCCCGTCATTTATGTCAAGTGAGTCCATTTGATTTCTTGGTACTTGCTGCTCCTGCTCTCAGGGTTGCAGCATAGATTACATCTTATTGCCATTGCTACCGAGGTCAGAATTTTGAATCTTTTGGAGAAAAAAAATATTATTTTGTGAAGTTGTTTCAATAAGAGATCATTTAGATAACTTTTTGTGACAGCAGTCTTAAATGCTGCATATGGTCTTCCTCTTCTGTCCTTCCTAGTACTGTCAAAGTGGATAACTTCACAGCTCAGCTTTTTAAAATCTACAAGCAAGTACTGAAAGAAGGAGTTGCTCAGGTATGCCATACAAAAGTTCTTGTTGCTAAATTTTCTCTTTACCATGTTGTAATTCTATCATCCGTAAGACACATGTGTATATCTGAATTGTTCCGTTGACATAGGTACATTTATACCTAGGGCATAAGCCAAGGCAGAAGTTACTCCCATGGGAGGCATGTATCTAATTCTAGTCCCTTTAACTGTTTCTGGTGGGCACTGATGGAAGCAGTCTCAAAACTGAGTGGCACTTAACACAGCTTTCCAATACAGTAGCTTTCTTTGTTGTCTGAATAAAAGATGTTAGGGGCTTCATGAGAAGATAACTGTTTATTGGTAAATCCAGTACTAGAGACACATGTACAATTTGTGTCAGGAATGGACGCCAATACTAGGGCCTCTGACTTATACTAGAATCAAACATCCCCCCGGTAAGCATGAGCCAATGGATACATCTCGCACACACGGGCAATAGCAAGCAGGTAAAGCAAAAGCCGTTAACTTTCCCAGCCGAGTAAAACTGCAGCTGGAGCATCTACAAGGTCAAGCATAAGATAGCAAAGAGTTGGTGAGCCAGGGAGAGCTGAGACAGAAAACGGGAGGGAACCCCTCCACATTCCAAACCTATGACAGGGCTACCTGACAGATGTTTTACTTAGCACTTGACACATTATATTGCCAATGTAATTTTCAGTTGAATGCAGAAGCATTGTGTTACAATTTCCAAAAGGGCTAAACCATGAACATGTGAATCCACTCATTGCAGTGGCAGATGCAAGTCAACAAATAAGTTGCATGATAGAGTGCTTTGTGATGCCTGGCAGTGATGGCTACTACACCTCTTTCTGTCTTGTTCAGTCTGTGGTTTTAGGAATCAATCGCTCTGACTACATGTTTGATCATGGCGCAGATAGCACTCCAGCTCTAAAGCAAGTAGAAATCAATACCATTGCTGCCAGCTTTGGAGGACTTGCATCACGGACTGCTGCAGTACATCGGTATGTTGCTGGCAAACTGGGAGGCTCTTGTTGCAATCCTAAGCAGAGTTACACCCCTTAGACTTCAGTGGATTTAGAATGGTGTAACTCTCTTTAGGATTGCACTGTGTTGCATATTCTCAGCAGTGTAACTTATTGTTAGTGTACAGAAAATCCAATCCATGTCTTACATGTCCATGCACTTTATTTAGTCAGGGTTGTATATTATTCTGCTATTATAGGCAGGGGCAATAAGGTGGATGGAAGATTCTGAAGCCCCTCCCTTCATCCCCTGGAAATTCTGTTCAGTCACTTCTCTTACTTCTGAGGTTTCATCTATGTGTTTTCAAACTTATTTGACAACCTAATACATGCTTCTTAAAAATGAAAGCTGAACTCAGAATGCTGAATTCTGTCCCTGATGCCAATTTCTTTAGTGCAATTGTAAAAGACCTGTGTAAAATTAGTCCTGAATATAGGGATCCTAATCTTCTCAGGTCACTTCTTCTGTTTCATTTTGTACAAATTATCATTAATTTGTACACACACATGCATAAATAGCAGTGGGAACCCTCTATGGATTTATTATATACATACAGTATTGATTTATTTAGAATATTTATGTACCCTGGATCAGTGTAATGTCATCCCAGTGGGCATATCCTGATAACAAACAGTCTATCACATCTTGCACTCTAGAATGTGGTTCTTGCTTAACTACAAGGTTATATACATTAATTGTACTCTGAATTGTTGTGTCACATACATTTGCTTCACTATCACAGTCACGTGTTGAATGTTTTGGGGAAGTCCAAGGAAGCTTCAAAACTACTGACCAATAATCCATCCAAAGGGATCTCCATGGGCATTGCAAAAGCTTGGGAACTCTATGGTTCAGACAGGTAAGAAAGATCCTGCACTCTCCAATGTGTACCTGCATGGCAGATACTTAGGCATATATTTTCACACAGTGGTCCAATGTAACTTCTAAGGGTCACTGTGAAAAGGACATCTACAATACTGATTTTTACTGTCTTTTGTGTTTTTCGTTTTTCCCCCTTTAGCTTTAATTAACTTTTTACATTGCTTGTGTTTCTTTCCTGTTTTCCACACACACAAAAAGTGATGCATGTTTGTTTCAGGGCAGTGGTAATGTTCTTGGTTGAAGAAACTCAGAGGAATATTTTTGACCAACGCTGTGTAGAAAATGAGCTGTGGAAGAGGTAATTGTCTAATAGTCCCGTAAAGTTGATCTGTGTCTTTCTATGTAGCAGAACTATTAAGAGCAGCCCTTGACTCTCCCACTGAAATTAATAGGTTTTTTAAAGTGTTTAACTCTGCCTGAATTGTTCTCAGTGTGATGCTTACACACATGTAAAGTCACCTTGCAGTGGAAAAACTTGCTTTTTAATTTTCTGCATAGAAATACACTGCATTTTATATACAGCTGCTTCTGTCTTACTGTACCTAGACAGTAAAACAGGGGTCCACAACTTTTCCAGCCTGCGGGCACCTTTGGAATTCTGACAGAGGGTGGTGGGTACAACTACAAAATGGCTGCCATGGGTGGCAGAACCAGCCACAAAATACCAGGGAGAGAGGTTATGTGTAACTCTGATAGTAGGTCTTCAACATTTCAAGCAGAAACTGTGTTTAACAGGATGCCTTTTAAAATTAATATATTGTTTAAAATATTTTCTTGCATACACACAGTTTAAATATACATATTGAATTAGCTAAAAGAATCATAATCTGGCAGAATATGTCTTTGTTTTACAGGCATCTAATGCAGTTATGCAAAAGGAAAAATAAATGCTTTTTCTTCTGCCAGTTGCTTTACATGACTCCTTCACTCATGTGTCCAGCCATTGGATGCAATCACATGCACAATTAGCCGCGCCATAGGAGCGAATGCTGGGCAGATTTAAAGGGCGCAATCAGACACAAACATCTGGGAAGCGCCCCGCACCCGTCGGCAACCCGTTTTGCTCCGCCGCAGAAGCGGAGTAAAAAGACACCAGGGAAAGTCTGGCAGCAAACGGGTTGCTACGGGCTACGGATGGACTTTCCCCTGTCTGATCACTGCAACGCGCTCTCATGGCGTCAGGATGGCCTGATCAGGCCATCCCAACTCTGTGCTGTTCCCCCCCCTCTCAGTATGCACATCATTGCACACTCCATAGCGAGCCCTCAGTGCTGAGATGTGATTCATCGATTCCCCGTTTAAGTGCATCAGGAAAAACAACAACAACAACCCCAACTCACCCATGGTTGCGTCCGATCTTGCAGTGGCGGGCCGCCACCCCAGCTCGCAGCTTCAAAGGACTGTGTGATAGTGCAACTGCAGGTCAGATTCCTCCAGGGGAAATAGCCTCGCTCCCCCCTTCCCGTGTTATCTCACACATGTGACTGCCACCATTTTTAACCTTTGTTATTATTTGTAAAAATGACAGTTGGTGCTGAAGAGCTCTTTGCCCATGTGCACAGTAAGAGAGCAACTCTGGCCAGATTTTGATAGAACATAAATGATTTTTTTAAGTGACTGAAATTTGATGTAGTGGTGTTATTATCAACTTCCACCTGAATTATCAAAATACATTAAAACTGGGAAGATCTGACAACCTCAATAGAAGTTCACGTAAAGTGCATTAAGCACTTTAGCTGCGCAGCCCAATTCTGTTTAATCAGAATTGTCCTGCTGGGTTTTTAGAATATCAGTCTGATGTTTAAACAGAGGTAGTGTGATACAAAGCTTGACCAAAATGGTCTCTACACCAACCCTCCACCTGACACACTTGCTTGTTGGGCCCATTCATTTATAAGGTTATAGAACATAATTTAGGAGTGTTGACAGCTGTTAGCAGCCAAGTTATCTAAGAAACTAGATGCTAAGGCACCATAGCCTCCTGGCAAAGGATTTTCTTTCAGCTCACTCCTCTAGAAACAAAGTTCTGTCTCCCCTGTTTTACTGTTTTCTCCTGTCCTCACTCAAAAGGCAGACTCTTGGACCTCAGAAGTCTCCTGAGACAGAACTTCTCCAACCTAACTCTCTGGAGACACAAACTCTATCTAACTAAAACTGAGCGAGTCTCCTTTTATCGCTCTCACTCCCCATTCCCATCAGGCTTCTCCAGCCCTTCTATAGATCCTGATTGGCTGCTAGCTGCTCTGCTTACACATCAAACAGGACTGAAGAGGACTGGTGTCTTTCAGAAAAGGGCAGGACCGTTGCTCATCTTTCACAAGCATAAATGTCAAGAACTCAAAAAGCGCCACCTGGCCCTGGCCACTTTCTAAAAACCTTGACAGGTGCCAGAGGGCCCCAAGTTGCCCCGAGGTGCCATGCTGGGGACCTCTGCTCTCAAATATAGTGCAGTTACAACAAATTGCGCACCACTTGGCCATTGGTGTTAGAAGGCTTTAGTTTGACCATGTTTGCCATCTTGTATTACAGTAGCACTGTTGTTTATGGTACCAATGATTCTTTTTTGACAGTTGGTTTGATTCTGCACACCTTTCCTTAAGTCATTGTTGAGCTCTGACAGTTATATATAACTTAACTTGAAGATATCTATTGTTGCAAATTTCAGTGCCTTTGTCACTTGTTTCCTAAAGGAATATCCGGGTGATCCGGCGGAGGTTTAAAGATGTGTTTGAAAAGGCATCTTTGGATAATGACAAGAGGTTACATATGTAAGTATTTCCCACAGATGTGCCACTGAGTTGGGCAAGCACACCATGACCACTTGTGAACTTCTGCCATTTATAGTGTTGCCACTTGTGCCAAAAATAACACACATTAATTTTAGTGCCAGATGTTTCCAGGTATTCACATGTTCCCCCTTAATGTGGGCTGTAATGTGTTCCAGTGGTTAGCTAAATAATGACTATGTTTACTATCTCTCTGTACTTCATACAGTTGTTGTGAAGATAAAATGGGAAGGGGACCATGTATGTCTCCCTGAGCCTTTTAGGAAAAGAGCAGGATAACCAGTGATAACCAGAAATGTCTGTAGAATGTATTGCAATTAATCCTTTGTGGGGTTTACACTGGAATCTTGACTGCTTAGAAACAGGAGTTCTTTAGTACCTTAAAGTCTAACAACCCCCCCCCCCCCAATCATAAGCTGCTGTGATGGGATGGAGCCCACTTCACAGAAGCTTATGCTGGAATAAAAAATTTTTAGTCTTTAAAGCGCTATAGGACTCTTGCTTATTTTTGTAACAGTATATTGAAATGGTGACTCCTGTGGGATCAATGGCATGGATCCTTCTCCCTATCCTTCCACTCCACGGAGCAAAGTTTATTTATTCATTGAAATATTTATACCTTTCCTTTTGGCTCAATTTCGAAGCCTTCTTCCAGTCTAAGAGCCCTTCCTCAAACTTAAGTGGCTCTTCTGTTGGAGGAAGAGTCCATAGGCTGGAGGAAGGCTTCTAGGAGGGTAGTTGGATTCACCCCTTGACTGCTGAGAGTTGCTGATTAGCTATTGATATCATGGCCCGTGTTGATTTTGTTTTTAATTGTCTTTCATTCCAGAGATGGGGAAGAAGTTGCAGTGGTATACTATAGAGAAGGTTATGTGCCAAAGAGTTACAATAAACAGGTCTGTACTATTGTTTTGAATCTTTAATTGCATTAGATGTGAACCTGTCATAGGCAGAGTTAAGTTTCCAATGTAAATTTAATACACTGAGAACTCTTCAGTTTAAAGAAGAAGAGATTGGATTTATACCCCGCCCTTCACTACCCAAAGGAGTCTCAGAGCGGCTTACAAACTCACTTCCCTTCTCCTCCCCACAACAGACACCCCATGAGGTAGGTGGGGCTGAGAGAGCTCTGACAGAAACGGCTCTTTTTCAAGGACAGCTGTGCCAGAACTATGGTTTGCCCAAGGTCATCCAAGCCAGGTGCAAGTGGAGGAGTGGGGAATCAAACCCTGTTCTCTAAGATTAGAGTCTGTGCACTTAATCACTACAGCAAACTGGTAGGATCTCCATGGCATAGTCAGTCTTTCAGTGAGGGGGCAACTCATCCGCTTCCCTTTCTTAAAAAACCCTCCCTAGGTCCCTATATTCCGGACGGATGGCGTTCAGTTCCTCTCACACCAAACAAACCCTCTCGGATGCAGGACAGCGCTCTTCCCCCCAGCTGTGCTCTTTGCAACGGGGGTCTAAAAAAGTTAGTGTTCCTTGGCTCCATTGTACATAGGGGTCGTGGGCTGCAAGCCAAGGGTTTCCTAGCACCATACGGAACTGGGCAGTGGGGTGTACAATAAATGACTGGTGTTCCCAATGTCCCCAAAACCCCACGGATAACTCAGTAGTTTGATATTGACATGACTGCATGGTAGTTCCGTCAGTCTGGGTGAGAACTACTGGCTCCTTTAGTTTAATCACCCCAGCTCCCAGTCCTGTAACTAACGTGGGGCTTATTAAGTCTCGGGAACACCCTGAGTTAATTAAAGCCCTCACCCATATTTGGGTCCTGGCTTCTGGGTGCAAAATAGTCACAGCTGTTTATGCTGACAAGATTTCTTTTCCCTACCTAATTTTATTGGAACACCAACATTTTGGTTAATAGAAGCAGCAACTTACTTTTATGTCTGTAGAACATTAACTCTCCTACTTGACATTGCAGAGCTTGAAAAATTACAGAGGGCAACCAAGATGATTAGGGGGTTGGAGCACCTTCCCTATGAGGAAAGGCTGAAGAGTCTGGGGCTTTTCCATTTAAAAAAGAGACAACTATGGGGAGATATGGTCGAGTTAAATAAAATTATGCATGGGGTAGCAAGAATGGACAAAGGAATTTTTTTCTCCCTCTCCCAAAATTCTAGAACTCTAGGGAATCCAATGAAGCTGGTGGACAGTAGATTCAAGAAAGACATAAGGAAATACTTCTTTACACAAAGAGTGATTAAAATGTGGAATTCTCTGTCAGAGGATGTAGTGATGGCCACAGGAATAAACAGGTTTAAAAAGGGATTGGATAGATTCATGGAGGATGGGTCTGTCAGTATGGTGACTGAGGGGAAGCTCCACATTCAGAGACACTAAACCTCTGAATCCTAGTGCCAGGAGGCTACATCAGGGGAACATCTCAGCCTCTATGCACCGTTTTTGGCCCTCCAGTGGTTGGCCACTGTGTGAGACAGGATGCTGGACTGGACCACTGGTCTCATCCAGCAGAGCTCTTCATATGTTCTTATGAGATTCTGGCTTTTGGATTGCATTGATAAATATGTGATCTGAAGCTAAAATGGAGGTTTTCAGTTGTGAGTGGGATGTGGGTTTACTGCAAGAGCATAACTAATGGCTCTTTGAACTGACTCTCACATCCTGTTGGTAGCCTACCACAGATTAACAAAAGTGGAGCCTTTTCAGCCACTTCCCCAGTCTGTGCTCTGGAAAATGCTCAGAGGTTTTTGCTATGCTTCTTTCTGCCATATGTTAAACAGTAATGCCATGTGTTGTTCTGCTTTTTTTTTACCCTACTTATCAATTTCCCTCTTCCGAAAGAGGTGCCCACCAGAACATATAACCAGTTTTGGTCCCCCTCCGTGCTCTCAGATGAATAACATCCTGAGATGGCCTCAGAGAGTTCCCATGCGAACAAAAGGATCCTCTGACAAAGATGCTGCCCTCTTCCCAGGGTCACTTTATTAAAGAATGCATCAACAGCCATCCTGAGTCAATGAAGGATACTATTATGCATGTATGAAAGTGCTGTATTAATGGTCTGATTCAGTCTATCTTGCTAATAGTGCTGCTTCTGACTGGCAGCAGCTCTCCAGCATTTTAGACAAGCTAAAACCTGCCACCTGAGAGCCTTTAACTGGAGGTGCTGGGGATTAAACCTGGAACCTTCTGCATAAACAACAGGGTGCTCTACCACTGAGCCACAGTCCCTATCAGATTATTCTGGATGGTTCTTCTTCCTCTTGGAGCAATTTGTATTCCAGAAAGTTCCCCAGTATGTAATAAAAGAACTTAGCATTGAGTAGTGACTATTAATTTCTGGTCTGGAATGTACAGTTGTCAAATATCAATGGTTCTGATTAAAAACTCCTAAATAAAGAATAGATGCCTACACTGGAAACTAGTCTGAGATTAATTATTTTTGTTTGCCCTAAGAACTGGGAAGCACGGTTGTTGCTGGAAAGGTCCAGAGCAGTGAAGTGCC